AGCAACTCCAGTTGAGCAGCCTTCAGATTTGTTTGAACGAATTACATTGGTACCTCTGAAGAGTTGATGAGTAGTTGAATGCCCATGGCAAAATCCAAACTGCTCATCTGCAAAAATTGAGTTCGTATTGATGTGAAGCATCATTCTATTTAAAATAGTCTTTTCAAAACGTTTACTTATTGAAGAAAGCAAACTTATTGGACGGTAGCAAGAAGCTTCAGCTGGATTTTTATCCGGCTTCAAAATTGGAACAACTTTTGATTTTTTTCCATTTATCAGGAAAGTATGCTAAATGGAAACATCTGTTAAATAATTTTACCAAGAAAGACATATTACTCTCTGGGAGTTTTTTTTATGAGGATATAGAAAATTCCATCATCACCTGGAGCTTTCATATTATGAAACTATTTAGTTACAGATCTTACTTCGTCCAAATCAGTCCTCCAGGAATCATCAAACATTTTTTCCCGAGAGAAAATATTCAGATAATCCCGAGCAACCTGTTTCTCAATAGGGCTAGGAACTCGGGTTTAATTTCGAAACATTATTTTCAAAAGTTTTGTTCATAATGGCAGAGAATCGCTTTTAAATTTGTTTTTGCAAATTTCGCCAGATAACTTTCATGGCAGGATCACGCGTCCTTTGATATTGTCTCCTACGAACATTTTTAAGACGGATCAAGAGCTGAAGATCGTCGTCTACAGGGATGAAAAATCATTTACATTCATTTCGTGCATTCACTTACATTCATCTGCCTCCAACTCCTTTCATCAACAGAACACCGTAAAATGATGTATGAAGCTTTTGTAGCTTATTCTATTAACTACAACTCTTGTCAACAACTAAAATCTGAATCTCCTATGCATGCCGAAATAGAGCTGGCAGAACATGTTATTGTTTTTCAGTGAATGCAATTTACATTCACTGAAAAACAACTGTGGGTTCTTATCACTCTGATTCCTCATGCACAAGAGATACAGATTTTAGTTATTGACAGAAGATGTAGCTAATATAAAAGCCTACAAAAGCCTCAAACACCATTCTACGGAATTCTGTTGATGAAAAAAGTTACAGGCAAATGAATGTAAATGAATGCACGAAATGAATGTAAATGATTTTCCATCCCTTCGTCTATTATAATTGAATCGAATTTAACCTCGCATTTTGGTCCTGAGGCAGCTCTTGCTTCAACTATAGAAGTAGTCAGAGATTCAACATCATAATTATTTCCATCTTTGCTTTGCAAAGAAATGATTGGATAAAAGCTCTATTCCATAAAAGATCGAATATTGCTCCCAATCAACTCAATGGTAATTTAAAGTAGAGCTGTTGGGATTAGAAAATATTTCTTGGGATATTTCAAAAGTTACTGGAAGGTGATCAGAACCGAAGTCAGCATGGGTAACCAATTTATTTATGTTATGGTCTGCAGGTAATTTATTCACCCCAATGACAGTATACTTATTCTAGACAAATTAACATAAAATACTCCGCTCATTCCATCCGTAGTTGGTTCGTGAGAGGCAGTTGTTCAGGAAAACATGCGATCGTAGATTACGGCGGCGGGTATTGATGTCGATACTACTCAGCAGTGTAGAACAGTCAATGTTTCCCTGAAGAAGACCACCGACAAAGCTCGCCATTGCTACGTTACGTCTTGCATCCGAAAGCTCTAAGTTGATAAACATACAGCGGCTTTCATAGCTAGGCAGATTTCTAGGGTCATTCCAGCGAAAATACCTTAAACCATACTGGATGAACTTCCGTTGAATAGCTTCAATACCCATGGTTTCATTGTGGTAGTATGGAGACCACACGAACAGTATATTGCTTTTAGGCAGTGTACATCTTTGTATTTTTTGGCGAAGCGGAATATGAACCCGAGTTGTGAGGAAGCTTTGGATACAACGTATGCAACATGATCCTTGAAGCTGAGCTTGGAGTCGATCAGTATTCTCAGATCCTTGATAGTCGTCCGCAAACGCGGAGCGTTTAGTACCTGTCGCTTAGAACGTATTGTAGGATCGCTTTGCGATTCTTACATGCCCAAAAATTGGATTTGTGGTTTTCACCACAATTTGTACATTAACATTTTTGCTTGAGAGGAATCTCCACAATTTATGCATTTTGCTGGCATGTAGCAAATTTGTTGTGCCGTGCCCCATCTCTGACACCTACGGCACTGGGTGATGTTTTGGAAATTTCCTCCAGTCTTCCTGAAGTGTTCCCACTTCACTCGAACATGGAGCATAAGGCTAGATTTTTCCAAGGCCTTACGGTTGTTTAGTTTACTAGACTTGAAGTGAACTAAATAAAAATCATTAGAAATCCCGTTGCGCGACTCGCCAGGACGGGATTTCATTTCCATTTTGATTACTTGGATTGGCACAACTCCAAGTAATTTTGCCAGTTCATCTTTGATCTGATCCAGGGATTCACCACTGGGCAGTCCTTTCATGACAACCTTGAACACACGTTCAGTTTTGGTGTCGTAAGTAAAAAAATTGTGCTGCTTCTCAGTAAGATACTTGAGAAGGCATTTAAATCCGTCCAAGGTTTCAGCCAATACACGGCATTCACCCCGACGTCCAATTTGTAGTGAAAACTTAACTTTCACGAATGTCAAAATTTCCATGCGAAGAGCATGGCAATCGGAAGTGGTTATCGCAATAGGGGAAATCTTTTCCTTCTTGGCATTAAGCCGGGAAAGTTTACTAGAATTTTTCTTGGATGATGGATCATTCGCATCATCCGTGTGAAAATAAAATTTATTACTCAAATTAATTTCATCAGAAAGGGGATCAAGAGATTGCCCTTTTATTTTGCACGTAGGCACCATAAGGGCAGTAAATTTTTTTATCCAAATCGACTTCCAAGCAGATTACTATAAGACTCTGAAGGATCGAAGAGGAATTTTTCAAATCGATATCCAAGAAGCATTACCTCGGGTAGGGTCCAAACAAGGATCGAAGAGGAATAAGAGTGAAAGAAGGTAGAAAATTTACAGGTATATTGAGCACTGAAAAGTGCTGTTTAAATTTGTTGTAGCAAGAGAGTACGATGCAAAGTGGCATCTTCAACTATGTTATATCGATACCTTTACGCAGAAGTATTACAAAACATAAATATAGTTAAAGTACAAAACACGTCTCTTTATTATTGACGTGCAAACACGATGCATGTGTTTACTCGTCTTTGATTTGTGCTGTTCCCTATCCCTTTTACTCGATATTAAGTTATCGATCCGTAGTAAAAATTAGTTTCATCGCTAAGGGGATTGTGATTCCCTCTGGACATGATGTTCAATTGATTGATAATTCTATCGATTTAGGATAATTTTATATCTGGATGGTCCCTTTAATATCGAGTTGCAGAGAGTTCACTGGATAAGACCTAGACACAATTCCTTCTACAAATTTGGTTGTAACCAGCAGTGTGTTAATTACACGATATTAAATTATAGTACAGTACTCAAGCAACATTACTAGTTTTATTGAGGATTTAAAGCATTCCACAAGTCTAAATCATGATCTGCAGAACCCTCATAAAACCAAAATTGTTACTTGGGTAACTACTTACTACGCAGTTAAAAAGGCAATAGGGAGCCCCTCGGATCCCCCTAATTTTAATAATGGCCCAAATAGAAAACCTGTTTAAAATGTAAAAAATAAGCATCACAAAAGACACCAAATCTTACAAATATCAAAAGAATTAGGACTTTTTAAAATTATGGTGGACCTTGAATACTGATGTTCAAAAATTAAGCATTGATTTTTAATGTCTTGAAAAGGCATAAGAGAACATTTAAGCAAAATTGGAAAAAAAAATGAATTTTTGAATCAACCTTCTCCGATTTGCATGAATTTTTGAATAATTGTTTGATGTGGACAATAATTCACATTTTTGCAACAATCTGCCATTTTTGGATTTTGCAAATTTTTCAAATTGACGTCGTTGACGTTTTTCAACAAATCCGGAGTGATTTGAGATTTGGGAAACAAACGCTTCACTTGACGATTTTTCGCGAATAAAAGCTCAGCCTAGAAAATTATCAACACAAACAGGCAAAGAAAAGATTCATCTAGCATGTGGTGTTATTGGATCTCGATATTGAGCTTTTATTCGCGAGAAATTGGCGATTGACGTGTTTGTTTACACAAGCACTTACGCCCAAATCTTGAAGGTAACCGGAAATTTTATCAGGGAAACGACATTTCTGATCGAAATAACGTCAGAGACAAAGTTGTTAAGAAAAATAATGTATTTCTGAAAAAAAAAAATGTGCAAAATAAAGGGGAAAAAAAAAATAAAACCCATAATGTCTCAAAATTTCCTAGCCCGATTTTTGAAAAAAAAATCAGACTTTATGCATGTTCGGAAACATGGACACTTGAATACTGACAGAACACGTAGAACAAGAACTTTTGGTCAAGCTTGGTTGAAGTTTTTGCTAGTAAGCTTTTTCCAGTGGTTAAAAAAAACAAAAATCGGGCAGGGGCATTGTGAAATATTTAGGTTTTAATTTTCGCGCTTTGGACATGGCGTGAGGAGTTCTGTCTAAATTATAGAAATTCTCCTTCTTGAGTTTATAATGATTTTATCACTTTTTACACAAAACAGATTACTTAATGCAACGAATACCGGACGGTTAATTAATCCAGATGTTTTTTTTTTTAACAAACAATGCGTCTATTTTACAACATAATTCATATGTGTGATGATTACATGGCAGAATTCACGTGTTATTTTTTAGGCATAGTAGTGATTGAAAATCAAATTTTATAATTGTCCGGATTTCAGCACTGTACCGTATCTACTTTTGTAACACACACTTGCCGAAAACAAGCAGCCTGCACATCTGAGCACTTCAGCAATTGTGAACGCTGTTTTCCTTGGTTCTTCTACTATTTTTTTCAAAACCTATCATCCCGAACATAATGCAGTTAACACGAATAATGTTCACCCCTCCGAATGTTCCGCAACCTTCACACAACACTGACCTGCGTCTCCTGTTCTGAGCCGGCGTTCTTTAGAAAACCTTGCTCTTCTGCCACAATCCCATTCCCGGTCTCATAGCTCCACCGATACGACCCATCAGGATTGACCTCCTGCTCCTGTCGAATGATGGGAATCTGATCCGTATCGGGTCCTTGAGGAGCACCATAGCCACACACCAACAAAGCACTGATAAAAATCTGCAGAAGACACATTTCACATCAATCTAGTTTCTCACTTCCAAAAAAGAAACCCTCACCATACTTACAATGTATTTCATGATGCTTAACTTAATATTCTTCTAAGCGAAAAAAAAAAACAATTATCACTATTGCGCTCGATGAGTCCCTTCAGGTCCTGGGAAATGATACACCCTATAAAACTACCCTCCTACTGGAAGTGCTATTACGAGTATGTTGATATTTATATGCAAATCCTCGATGTCTCTCTGATGTGCAACCGAAAGCCATACTGCCTGGTCCGTTTGGACGCTGAAGATGAGAGCGAAGATCGCACCGCAACAATTGGCCCGGACAACCCCACCCTTGATTGAAGAACCGATCCAACGGCGCATAGGGGAACTGGGGGTAAGATGGACACCCTAGGGATCGTTATTGTTTTATCATCAATGAATACATCATTTTGCTGGTAATAACAGTATTCTGAAGGTTAAACTCAAGTTTCAAGAAACTACGTACACCAATTTATGACACAATTGTTTTTATCTTAAATGGTCCAAAAATGCATTACTATTTTAGTTGCGGGTGAAACGGAAAGGTACTGAGGGTAAAACGGACAGTTTTGAAAATTTATTGTTTCCATATTATAAAAAAAAACAATCAAACTATTTGTGTGATTATCAGGGTGGTTCAAAATTCCGATTTTGCTCCACCAAGCTCAATCGATTTAAAATCAGTTCCTGATCATTCTCCCAAAATGTGAGCTTACCCAACAAACAATTTTAGCTGCAGATCGATTAACTGCATAAGGCAATTTTCGGCTGTATAAGCTAGTCTGCAGCTAAAATTGCTAGTTGGGTATTTGGTTGCGAACTTATACTGCACTGGCCCTTTGAAATTTATATGGGAATTAATATGGGAACAGTGAACTATTTTTTCTCCTCGTCCTATTCTTTCGTCATAATGATTTACGGATAAGATTGCTATCTGTAAATTTTGCCACAGCTACAACTTTGCTGAAGACCACTGTTTCGTCCAGCGGTAGATCAGGATTCTACGTTGTGATTCCTTGGTGGCTCGATGGATCTACTTCAAATAGTGTGACGGTGATGGATACTCGACAATCAAACGAAAGGGGGCAAGGTAAGGGTCCCGATTAACTGCGTACTCGGAGATTTGAATTAAACTTTGTGTATTCTCAGTTTGTCTTGAGGATTTTATTCTATATCTTCACAATCATCTTTTATCTTTATAATAATTACATCTTTAAAAAAAACAGAACAAAAATACTTACAGTACTCACAACGATACTTTGGTGATGTGACACTATATGGCTTTAGCAGCAACTTGCATGCATGTATTCATTTATTCTACTGTTGACGGATTTCACGCCAACTCATCCAGTGGTTGGCAGCACCCTCTCAGAACCTTATGGAACTTTGTGGGTGTGGAGACTTAGCAATTTTAAGCAACTTTGCGTACTTATTTTTTTCAAAATTTATCTCGCCTAACATTTGATAAGGGTCAAAGTTTTTTGTCGATTTTTTTTTCAAATCAATATTAAAAATGACAAGCCCTACAAAAAAGTGATGTATGGCGAACTTTTAACAAATAATCTGAAATTTTATAAAAAAATTTAAATAAAATAAAAAATCGGTTTCTACACTCTAAAAAAATATATTTAAAAATTAAAAGTCATTTTCCCAAAAATGGTACCCCTCAGATTTGCTTGATATTTTTTCTCATGAAAGGCAATATAATTACCTAACTTTTCTTCATACATTGCAAAGTGGGCGCTTTTAAGGAAAAAAAGTTGTTCGAACAACAACTTTTTCATGTTAATTTTTTTTTAGCGTGTTTCACTCAAAGTCGAATAGTAATACGCGCACAACCTTATTAAAATTCGATTAAACTTTATGGGTATACTTTTCGATAATCTGGGCGAAATCTAGCCTAACATTTGAAAAGGGTACAGAGAAGTTACCTGCAAATCGTCCAATAAGAGTTCAGAACAAAACGTTCTAATGAGGAACAGCCATCTCAGCATGGTTTGCACTTTCCTGTGATGGATTGTATTATAATATATGCATACACTCTATCCAACTTCTATAAAACCACCCTCAAATTGTTCCAAATCAACAGGTAAACTAAGTAAAAATCACTTAGTATGTTTTATTCATGAAAAGATTTCAATTCATGTATTTGTGATTAATTTAATTAGAAAAATAATCATTCATTTATTTTTATGTATTAGGTGTGTCCATTAGTAAGCAATATGCATATATATGTTTATACCTCATCTCTCAAGTGAATACATATAATAGCGCAGGTAACTTAACGATTATTTAAGGCATGCCTAAAATAATCGTTAAGTTACCTGCTATATAGCAGTTATATAACAACGCAGGTAGTCACATGAGAGATATAAGGTATAAACTTAAAGCACCGCAGTCTGTTTCTACCGACATAATCTAATATTTAAGTTTGGTGATATCACAACAATGCTCATAGTTGCTGTAGTGCATAGTTGTTGAAAGTGTAGTGCTGCATAGTTGTTGAAACGAAAAAGTGTTTATATATACAACAATGGAAAAATCTGCTGAATTGATTATTAAAAGGGTGCAATGTAGTGCCAACATAAACAATCCCAATTGCAGCCGCAATAATTTACGTAATTTATCATCAAGTCTCATAGAGAAAATACATTCATGGGGCTTTGATCATCAATTGGATGTAACAATGCGTATTTGTGAATCGTGTCGTGGAATTTTAGTGCACAATAGGACACCTCTCCCGAAAAAGAGGCGATCGGATGGAAAAGAATCAAGCCATGCTCGGAAGTTTGAAGAGCCGCAACCATCAACAAGTCATCAGCAATCAGAACATCAGGAATTTGATGATACACTAGGTAAATAATAATAACTTTAACTGTTTCAACTGTGTGGTTTAAGGATTGTACATCGAAGATACAACTTCATTTTCAACATTTTTTTAGAGCACGAGCTGGATGAACCGCTTATCGTACAAATTTGATCGATTGGTAGGCCAACCTCGGTGAACAATCTATCAAATTTTCACGACTGTACGATATGCGGTTTATGCAGCTCGTGCTCCACAAACATGGGGAAAATTCAGATGCGGCTTCGATGTACCGTAAACGGGGATGTCTTTGATAATGGAGGTAACTTTGATAATGCAGCTAATCCAAAAAGTTATGACTTAATGCTCTTCGTATTCATTATTTTGGAAGGGAACATCGGTTTCCTATCCAAAATATTGCGTACGATGTGCCTTAAGTCATAAATTTTTGGCTTAGCTGCATTACCAAAGTTACCCCTATTATCAAAACCACCCCCGTTCATGGTACTATCACCTTAACAGCGTTATATATTAATGTGTGGTAATATTTTTTTTTTCTTTTCTTTAATTTTACAGATACAGATCCATCGCTAGAATCAATCCCATCAGCGGATCAGATCCAAGGTCCATATAATGTGGAACAATTCAATTGTATAGCTTCAACCTTACAGTTATCACCAATTTCATCGAGAAGTATGAGAAGTATGAATTATCGTGTTCAAAAATCTGCAGAGATCACAAAGGCAGTGCGTAAAAATATATTTGGGATGGATTCAGACGATGTCAACAAATCAAATGATTTTGACGAAATGATCAGTACAAATGACAAATTAAAAGTGTTATCAGTGCTCCCTAAATCATGGTCAGTGAATCAAATAGTTAATGAGTTTAATGCACCCCATCATACAGTGAAACAGATGAAAAGGCTAGTCAAAGAACAAGGTATTCTTTGTAGTAAGAAAGCAAGAAGTGGTCATGGATTTAATGATACTGAAAAACAAATTGTTTTAAATTTCTTTGACAGTGATGATATTAGTAGGCCTATGCCAGGAAGTAATGATTATGTTTCTGAATATCGAAATGGATATAAAGAGCATGTTCAGAAACGTTTATTGATGATGTCTCTTAAAGAGGCTTTTATGATTTTTGAAGAGAAATACAAAACTGTTAAAATCGGATTTACTTCGTTCACTCAGCTCCGACCAAAGCATTGCATACTGTTGGATAGTACAGGTACACATAATGTATGTGTCTGTACTATACATGAAAATGTTAAATTGATTATTAATAGTGTAAAATTTGATTCATATAAAGAAATTGCAGACAAAATACTTTGCAGTAGTCCTATTAGAACCATAGATTGTTTTTATCGTACATGTGAAGAATGCATTTCCACAGATAGTATCGTGAGGGAACTTACATCAGTATTAGAAGCAGATGATATGGAAGAAGTTTTATTTCAACAGTGGTTGACTACCGACCGTTGTAATTTGGAAACTATTATTAAACCTGCAGATGAGTTTGTTCAATATTTGACGGAAAAAGTTGAAAAGCTGATAACCCATGATTTTATTCATAAAGAGCAATCATCTTACCTAAGTAATAAAAAAAATTCTCTTCAAAACGATGAAATTTTAGTGATTTGCGACTTTTCTGAAAATTATTCATTTATTATTCAAAACTCAGCACAGGGGTATCATTGGAACAATAATCAAGCTACGATACATCCTTTCGAAATTTACTACATAAAAGAAAACAAGTTGGAAAATTTAAGCTTTATTATTATTTCAGAAGTATTGACCCATGATACAATAGCAGTTCAATTATTTATATCAAAATTGTTAGATTTCATTAAACAATCTATTAGTTTCACAAAAATTACTTTCATGTCAGATGGAGCAGCGGCTCATTACAAAAATAAAAAGAATTTTGCCAGTTTGTGCAACTTCAAGTCCAAGTATGGATTGGAAGCAGAATGGCACTTCTTCGCAACGTCTCATGGGAAAGGCCCATGTGACGCAATTGGAGGAACTCTCAAACGAATGGCAAAGAGAGCAAGTCTTGCTCGAGATTATGGAAACACAATCACAACTCCACAAGAACTGTATGACTGGGCAGTTAAACAAACAGATACAAGCATAACAAAATTGAACTTCTGCTTCATATCAAATGATCAATACACAAAGATGTCCGATGAACTCAAGGAGCTGTTCAGTCATGTAAAAACTATACCTGGTACACAAAAATTTCATTGTTTTGTACCTATTTCTCAAAACATAATTTCTACTAAGCGATTTTCACATTCAAAGGAAACTCCGAAAAATTTCACTCTGTTTCCGATAGACTAATAATCAATGAAAAACTCAAATTATGTATGGAGAATTATAGGAAAATAAATTATGCACTAAACAAAAACACTAGAGTTTTAATTTATT